ACTTTGTGAGGGTTATAATCCATAAGTGCGGCCGAAGGCCGCCTACGGAGAAAGGTGTTTATACACAAAAACCCTGTATACCTTTTTTCCACCTTAATTCCATTTTCCTGAAAACTATAAAAAGGTATATGTATAAATATGTATATCAAATTAAAGAGAATTAAATTCTCTATCAAATGACATCAATTGTCCAATTCCTTGAAGAGGTTTTCGAGAAATATTAATTTGAGAAAATGCTTAATTTGAACTTTGACCTTTAATAATTGTTGTAGTTGTTGTTTCCCAAAAAAAATAAATATACCGTTATGTTCACCTCAATGGTCTCTATCGATCCTATTTTTTTTTTTTTTAATTCGAGATTTGGTAGTATTGTGCATTTGTTCCCAAGATGGCGTAGAACCCGCTAAAAAAATCGACTTTTTCACTCTCTTGTTCTTACGTGATCTGGTGTCTTTCGTTTATGGTTTGAACTCGAAATTTTCGATATCGTATCGATTATTCTGAATATTGATATTTCATGGCACGATAATCGATTTTTTGAATCGATATTCCAAGGTCGATATATCGAAGATATCGATACTTTACCCGCAATATCGATATTTAAGTTGAAATTTATTTTTAATCTACAAAAAATTGTATGGGAAAATACTAAAGTAGGTTTAATCAGCAGCTTGCGTGATTTATTTAGCTCTTAAGTTTGACAAACCGCTTGAGTCGACCGGCATGCCGTTTTAATCCTCAGTAAATATACAAGATGGAAATAACACAATTAGTTGGGTTGACAGGCCCAACATTCTATTCAATTGGGAGTAAGATTTTCAATATCGATTTTTCCGATATCGATATTTATTTATTTATTATAAGAAAAGGAGTGAGTGAAGCACCCCTTTACTAGTGTTTGGAGCGCTAGTGTCAACCACCTTCGGCTCACTTTTAATTTTTTGTTTTTTAAAATGTTATTCGCATATATCTAAATGAGGGTTAACTCTAGATTAACCACATCAGATCAGCCAGTTTGAGGTAATTGTTTATTTTTTGGATCGATTTTACGTCGGTTTTTTGTATCTCTATCGGAGTGGTATTTCCAAATATGTTGCGTCTAGCTGAGTCGAAAGCGTTGCAATCGTTTAACAGGTGTGGGATGGATAG